AGATGCTCCAGAGAGGGACTGTGCTCCTCCCCATAGACCCCTGAAGAAGAAGACTTCAGGGTCCCACCTGTGGAGGCTGTCCAATTCTCCATCCAGAGCTCCGCTGCTGGACAGAGCAACATGTTTACAGAAATCACACTCTGCCCAGAGCCTGTCCTCAGACTGTACGTTTCATCATTATTTTGTCTGTTTATTATTAATATATATTTGCTGTCATCTCTGTAATATTTGGGTTAGTAAATGAGCTACATTAGCTCCATTATGTGTACATTGTGAGGCAGTGAAACTGCGCGAAGAGTGTATTTGAACATGAATTTACAAAACATAATTAAATGTAAATTTTTTTATTAATCTCCACTTCTAAATTTTTTCTCCAGCTCTTCACTCCCCTGTGCCCTCTAGTGACGGAAGAGAGTTGCACAAAAGACCTCAGCAGCTTATCCTGGATCATGACACTCCCAGGCCTTCCTTCCACTTTTCTTCACCCTCTTCTGGGTCCCCACAGTCTCCCCAGTCGCCCCTGCCCTGGGAGAGCCCTAAACTCAGGCCCCAGCACTCCTACATGAATCCCACTACCAGCTCCATGGCCAAAAGCAGCCGCTCCTCCTCACTGGTAGAGGGTATCCAGATGGGCTCTCCACCTTGCTCCCCCGCCTTCCACAAGGCCACGAGGTCATGCGGGGAGCTGGATGTTGAACCTCCCATGCTCACCTCGTCTCCTGTCGCCGCTTTCCCGTCTACTGTCTCATCAACATCTTCTCTCTTATTGTGTCCTATATCAAACAGTTCCTCCCCAACGTCTACAGTTTCACCCTCTCCTTATGCCCAGAACATCCCGCCCTCTCGCATCCCACTCCCCAAACAGCCCCTCAGCCCTCGCCGCAGCCTCTGCCTGGAGGTAAAGCCGAGCTTAAGTTGTCCTGGAGGGCCGCCGAGGGCTTCTTCTCCTGCCACAGACCCTGGATGTGACGTCACACCTACTCCAGGCAACAGTCAAGGTTAGACAACCAGCCATATACTGTAGATGTGACACATAAACGCACAAGTTAAGAACTGAAAAGCGGATTGCATGTGTGTGTGATTCTGTATATATCTTGTTGTCTTCAGCACTGGGCAGGCCTCTGTCTCTAAGTTTGGATTCCTCTTTGCCAAGTTCACTGCCAGTGAGGCGGAAGAGAGCCTCGGTTTCAGAGAGGTACATTTTTACACCTCTTCCAAACTTTTTGTTTGAGTTTTCTAAAAAAGACATATAAACGTAGTAAAGTCTTTTTTTTAACTTGTTACTTATTGTATTAAGGGTCATCAACTGATCATGACAAAGGGTGTTACAGTATTGAGCAGATTTTACAGATTAGGTTTAATAAACATTAAACATTAAACATAACATAACTATTCTGCTCTTTCAATCTAATTACTCAAAATTAGCATTTACACAGTGAGTGATGCATGTGTCTGACATTTTTTCCCAGTGCCATGGAGCCAGGACTGGTGACTGTAGCCAAAGAGTGCCCTCTGGTGCCACAACAGGCCCACATATCGAGTGCTGACCCCCCGCCAGGTCTGGCCTCCAAGAACTCTTTCACTAACCTGTCCATGGCTACCGCTCCTCCTCTTAATCCCTGCATTTGTTTACACTGCTTGGAACCTATGGGTGGCAATGTCCTCCGGAGTTCAATGAAGTCAATTAACAGATTTTTGATTCAGACAAATAAAACAGCAGTTGCAATAGTCAAGGTGTGAGGAGATTAAAGCATGTATAATGGTCTCTGTGTCTTAAGATAGATTGTATTTTTTGAAACAAGATGATAAAAACATGATTTAACAAGCTTTGCGCTTAAGCTCAAAGCTTATCCAACAAAACATCAAGATTTCCTGCAACAGGCTTGATATTCCACTTATCACTTCACTTATCAGCTGATGGCAATAAAATTTGCTAAACACATTCACGCTTTTTCAAAGGATAGACTCTTTCCATGTTGGACTCCTCATGTCATCCATGTATGTTTGCACACAGTATATTGTAAGTCTCAACATTATAATCTCATAGAAAGAATTCAGTTACATTAATCCCCTTTTTAATGTTAATATACTAATTGCCTATTATTTAACATTATCCTATACATAGAACCTTAGTTAACTGAAGTTCCACTGCAGACTGTTTTCCTCTCATTGCTCACTTACTCAGTAAATAAAGGTGTCTAACAGAGTTAGAATACTGAGGTGATTCTTAAAATAACTTCTTCATCCTGTTCTTCACGCTCCTGTGCCTGCTGTTTTGTGGATGATAACTGTCTCATAGAGGCACCAGACTTCATTTCATTTCAATTTGAAAACACAGAGACCATAAATGCCATTAAGTGATATCCCATCCACACTTGTACCTACAACTGTGTGTTTGCCGGAGAATATAAACTGTGAAATCATTTTTTCACAGCTCACACAGCTCCTTCTCTCTGGCTTTGTGCGGCAGCCTCCTCGTGTGTTTTGTCTATAGTTTCTTTTCTGCCACCAAGTTATTCTTGTTTTTGTTTATTTTGTTCTTGTAATGCTCCTCAACCTTTTGCTCAAAATTTACTGCGTACTTCGCTCGATAACTGTGTGTTCCTGTGTATTATGCTGTACAGTATATGCGTCTTTGTGCACACTCTGGTTTGCCACATGCTGTGCTATACTTGAAAGAGTCCTCTCTCTCTCTGCAGATCACTCTATCACCTTGGAAACTTGCAGGCAGGCTGTTACCGAGCTCCACAGCAGTCTGAGAAAAACCGTCATGCTCTACACTACGGTCAGTGAGTGTGTGTCTGTATGTGTGTGCGTGAGAGGAGATATGACAGTAGAGAAAGCCTGAAAGGGAAGAAAGATAGGGGAAAGTAGAGAGATAAGAATGATAAAAGGGAATAGATGAACAGATAGAGATCATTTCTCAAATATTACATGCCTGTTAATGCTGCCACTCTCGTGTCTCTCATATTGTTATAAAATGCTTATATAGAGAGAAATTACTTCTGAATTATGTCATTTTAAAATCCTTCTTATAATGTACTGTTTTGTCTCAGTTCATTTTACATCTATTGATGCTGCTGTCTGTGGTGAAACATTTTCACACCTTTTTACTTTATTATAGAGCTGAAACAATAAGTCCATTTATGGATTAGGTGATCTATCATGATCGGTCTGACCATGATAGACAGTTGTTATCTGCAACTAATAATCTGAGTTGTTTTTTAAGGCAAAAATGACATTTGCTTCTTCTAGCTTATCAAATGCGAGAATGTACTGCTTTTCTTTATCTTGCTGATAATGTCAGTACGGGTTTTGTGATGTTTAGGGCTGCAAGTGACAAACATTTTCAGAATTGATTAATCTGCTCATTATTTCCTAAATCAATTGCTATACAACTTAAGAAAATTGTTAAAAACAACCATCACAAGTTTTTTCAAAACCCCAAGGATATTAAAATAATATATTAAACATAAAATCCTCATGTTTGAGAAGCTGGAAACAGAAAAATGACCTCAACAATGAATTGATTATAAATATATATAGTTTTCAATTCATTTCTGCCAATTGACAAATCAATTAAACCACTAACCGTTTCAGAAGTAAACACGTTTTAATTTTATAGACAAAAACACAAAACAATTCATTTAGAAAATAACTGACATATTCATCAATAATGATGAATCGTTAGTCTCAGCCCTACCTGGATAAACATACTGTATGTTTGAGCTTGGCGGTTTTATCAATAATCTGAGTAGACTGGATGTATGTCTGCCTGTCTGTCTCACCCATTCGCTGCCTGTCTGGTTTTCATTTGTATGTATTTATTAAAACCAGGTGCTACAGTCCGGCCAACAGCCCAGTGAAGATCAACAAGAAATGAGGAGCATCCTATCTGAGGCCCTGTTCACAGTCAAAACTGAGCTGGACTCTCTGCCTCACCCTACCTCGCAGTGCGAAGGGCCCCAAGTGGACCAAGAGGTCAAAGGTGAGGGAGAGAAGGCCCTGGCTCTGCTGGAGCAGTACGCTGAGCTGCTGCTGAAGTCTGTGGAGAGGAGACTAGATACCAAGACTTGAGGAGATGGACTGATATTTGCTATGTGTATGCACTGCATGCACGTATGCTAATAGGAGCCAGACACATGCACACAAACAGTAACACTGTGAATTGCAGACTTGTTCTTTGCACAGCGATCTTTTGGAGCTTTATTTATGGAGTGAATGCTGGTGTGATGTCATTATATTTGGAGAAAAAAATCAATGTTGAGTATCATGCACTGAAAACAGAACAAATGAAAGAGTGCCTTATTTTGGAAATTCCAATAGCTTTCTTTATTCCTTTCCAACATTAAAAAATTAAAGGATACAGTAAACACTTTCTTAGAACTTTTTTATAAAAACATGAAATATGTCTTAAGGTCGACAGCACGTAACTTAGGCTTATTAAAATCTAAAAGGTTTATGCTCTTGAGTGATATTATTGTGCCCAGCAATTTTCATGAAAATATATTAGTTATGTATTGGGAGATACTGTATCTTGTGTGGGGAACATGTAAATTTCATGACAATTGTGCTAGAAACTCATGATGAATCATCCACTGGGGGAACCATAAATATACAAACCAATTTTCAATCTGGCCAGTTACAGGGAGATTTTGCTCCAGACCAAACTGTTGCACAGATGGACACAACTGACATGGTGGGGGATAGAAATGATTATATTGGGGTTTGAGTGTTAGATGACAGACCGGGGAAAATCTTTTGTTTAGGCTGTGTAATTCATATTTTTGTGCCAATGGTGTATCCCTAATTGCAATGTACTGTAGTGGTAACTTTAGATCAGTTGTCATTGCTTTATGTCAATCATAAACAGTCTGTTAGTCTTTTCATAGTGCTGATTTTAAGGTTTACTGGAAATTTATAATTTTTGTATTTATATAAATAACTGTTGCACTGTTCTTCTTTAAGCTCTCTTTAAAAAATAAATAATGAAAAACAGATTTCTGACTGATAATTTTATTACATTTTGTTACAGTTAACAGAGCCTAATTGCCATCTAATAGACCTCATTGTTGTTGTTTTTTGACAAAATAGGTAGATGTATAACTCCCAATTAGTAGCAATTTAATAATATAGAAAATATTGTACACAATAAATACAGTAGCAGTAGCATCTTCATACTGAAAAAGAAAACCTTGTATTAAATTGTTAGCTGTGTGGTAGAGGAAGGAGTTTGATCTTACTGAAGTATATTATAGAATGAGCTCAGCTCATGTTATTATTATTACACCACAAACTATCACATTTATTTGTTCAGTCTTTAAGCATCATGATAAATAAATTTACGTCCTGTAAGTTGTAGCCTATATATGTGTGTGTCTGCAAATTTCTTTGTATGCATTTCTGCTCATTTGCATTTACAGACTCGTATGCATGACTGAGTCCTTGATGTGTTGATTCATGTACTGTATGAGTAATAGAATTCTTCCTATGGAAGTGTCTCTACATTGACGTAGGTGAGGACGACGTCATGCAGGATGTTGATTCTGTCAATCTGGTTGAGCTCTCTCACGCGGTGTCGGAACTCAAACAGCGGGATGTTGTTCACCGCCACCCTGAACGCTTCACGAGTGCACAGGATCTTCATCTGGAACAGGGCAGGACATGAATAATGTACCACTTCCATCAAGACTGTGAACTGTCTTAAATGCAGTGCACATTTAGAAAGACAAAATATATATTATTCAATCATGATTGATGATGATGAGTAATTCTGAACCTAGATGCTATTGCTGTCAAGAAACATGGACACAGACAGAATTAGCTCTTCAGATCTGTAACCTCTTGGCGGTGCCTGTAAAGCATAATTGTTATTGATGTTACTGAGCAACATGAGACCCCCACTGACCTCCAGGAGCCTTCCTGCATTACAGCAGTTCCCTTATCTAGGACCCGCCTGCACAAACGACTTTCCAACCCTTTCCATCTTTTCCAAACGTTAGCCTGACATTAACCATGAGAAAGTGACCTACAGTCAGTTAAAGGCACCATGTGTAGCATTTTGAGACATCAACATATTGTGAAATTCTTACCACAAACAAATGAGACCATGGGTAAAACAATTAGTAGCTTCTGTTTATATAATTTGTTTGTGCTGGAAAAAAACTCATTGTGTGGTAAAGCAATAATGGACTAGTAGCAGCAGACACAGACACAGGTGAACATTTGTCTCCAAATGAATGTGGTAATGATTTATTGATGCTAACGTGCTACACATAGCATCTTTAAGCATCACTTTTCAATCTTCTGCCCAGTCTGATTCCTCTGTCTCACCTCAAATGGGCTCCCAAGAGCGAAGGGGAAGGGTCCCTTCAGGTCCCTCTCCTCTGAGCCCCAGCGCTCACCCAGTTTGTGGTTACGGACCAGCACCTGTTTGCCCCCCTCACTGAAGCGGGGGTTGATGTGAAAGGCAATGTCATTGCCCTTCAGAAAGTTCACTGTGAACCTTTGGAAGACCAAAGCTGGTTAGACTTTCACTGACACTGTATTGTTTGGCTGTCCTTCACCAACTGGTCAGATTTGCATATTTTGTATGGATTTGAAACTGAAATTTAAAAATATGAATTGAACATGACTACAGAAATTAGTATATAGGGAAAAGACGGGTTCAAAATGCAATCTAGGAACACATAGCTTACATTTTAGCATTAGGTTTAACATGGCCCAAAATGGTCATCATCATCTTGTCATAGACTCCTCGGGCCAGGTTCAAGTTGTATGGCACACTCTAAACAGCAAGAGAGAGAGAACAAGGATTAAAACAACCTGAATTGTAAAGAAGCTAGTCCTCAAACATATCTCCAACCATCAGTATTTCTGCATTTATGATCCATTTATAGATCCTTTAAGTCTATTTTTAAGTCTTTCCTGTACATTAGTAAAGATTATAAGATATATGCAATTCCGATTTTTTGCATTTGACTCACGAGAGGTCCAGATGTAGGTGGAAGCCAGTGCTGAGGCATGATAGATGGAGTCTGTCCAGGCCATCCTGACTGTCCTGGGTTATAAGGCCAACCAGGGTGGGCAGGCCAACCTGGTACATTTGGATGGATGCCAGTAGCAGGAGCAGGTGCTGGGACTGGAGTTGGAGCTGTAACTTGAGCAGGGACTTGAGCTTGAATTGGAGCTGGTGGCTGGGGAAGCTGGTACTGGGTGCCTGGCCAGCAAGGCTGGCAGGGCTGCACTGGAGCCGGAGCTGGAGCTGGGACCATGGGTGTGGGAGATGCAGGGGCTGGTGTTATAGCTTGACCCTGGGCTGGAGCTGAACTTGGTGCAGGGAAAGAGAACTGAGCTGGTTGTGTCCCAGGCCAGCAGGGTGTGTTTGGCTGGCCAGTCCAGCACGGTGCAGGCTGGGTGGGCTGTCCCGGCCATGAAGGGAACCCAGCACCAGACGGTGGCAGGCTGGGCCAAAGGCTGTTAGCCTGTGGGACAGAACCAGGGGACGGGCAGCTGCCACACAGAGCGTCAGAATGCTGAGAGGGAGGAGGAGAGGGGGGAGATGGAGAGAGAGAAGGGTCAGGGGTCAGGACGGAGATACGGGGAAGAGAGAGAGTGGACAGGATGGAGGACACCAACTTGCATTTGCAAACATGGCCGATTGACATAAGCAAAGATTTAAGCATTTATATTTAGATGGGAAATGTGAAGTAGAACAGTTACAATGATTTGTCATTCTCACCAGTGTAGAGATCTGAGAATTTGATGAGGTACTTACATCCATACTGCCTGCAAGAGCAAGAATCACTTTAATTTATTTACAGCTTGTTGTTGTCACAAACAAGTCTCGGAGGACTTAACAGAGATGGAAAACTAAAGACAGAACAAACTCTAAATAGATCTGTTCTCACAAAATGAAAAGGAAATAACATGCTATGGAAACTAACAGCCTACAAAACTAAAACATAAAAAAGCTGCCTTTTAACAGAGGTATTGAAACATACTGACATATTTTTACAAGATACAGAAGATGCACCATCCGGCTGAGCTTTGATGAGCTGCAGAGAGAAGAAATAGTACTCTAGGTGACCACCAGAGGACTCTACTGCTTTTCAAGATGTCAAGGTATCAGCAAATGGTCCATTGGATGATTGTCTGTCTCCACATAGATATACATTGTTAGCTAAATCCTACGGATGCCATGAAATGTACTAATTGAATGATGACCATAGAACACCCTGAGTCATGCAGAAACATAATGGCATATTGATTCAGGGTCATATCAATGACTTATGTGCACTTAGAGAGGAATGTGCAGTCACAAAGATTCTTTGGTGTCCATAGCACCAATATATAGTTGTTTTTGTGACTGCAAATTCAATTACGGTTACTACATTATTGAACTACCTAGTCTTGCTATTTAATGCTTCTTCTTAATCTTTGTTATTAGAAATACAACTCAAACCAATGAGCTATACATGTGAAGATAAATTATATTCTCATATTTAAATAAAATGTTATGATCCATTTGTTTAGTTCACCATTGCACTGTGCACAACTTTAACTCTACAGCAGGATAAAAGCCCAGACCCCAGACTGGGAATGCATGATTTACTATGAAAACTTCTAGCATTGCATGCAAAGTACCTTCTCGGATCTAATCCATAGAAATAGAAATACATTTGTATAAACTGCAACGCATAGGATTAAGACTAGAAGTTACCTTTTCTTGTCTTTAGTCTTCAGGTGCAAACAGGAGCAGGCTGTAGGCCGTGTTGTAGTTTAAGTGAATCAGTCAGCTTGTAGCCAAGCACTTCGAAAAGCTCTTTTATAGCCCCAAACCCTCGCACCACTTGGCCACTCCTCACCTCATCCCTGTCAGAAAAAATGTCACACCCTCACATGTCACAAAATATATGTAAATAAGATAGAGTGGGCAGAATGTTAGCGTTATATTTTTAAATATGCAACTCAAAATGTTATGTTTTGTTCATGTTGTCTCTTTATTTCCTTTTCCCCAGGAGACTGCGTTCCCAGAACTCAGCTGGTTATTAAAGTCATGAAGATCTAACAAAATAAAACTAAAGGGAAAGAAACTGGAAGACAGTGTGTGAGTCAAATAGTCGAATGCTAGGTTGGAAACCATATCAAAACAATGAAATGTTATATTCTCCCTTTCTTTACCTAAACTTGATCCACCAACAGCACATAGATGTGTTTTTGTGCTGATGTGGTTCACTTCACTGCTGAGCAGTCATGGGACTGTGTAACACTCATGCCATATCTGTCTGGGCCACACAGAGTAACACAATTACTGGAGATAGACAAAGTAGTCAGGACAGTGCTGTTTTCTAGAAATGAGTCAGGCATTGACAGCAGAAAAGTCAGACATTACTGCTTGGTTCACCTTCAGGTTAAGTCACTGCATTGGATTTGGTTGTCAGTGGAGGTCTTCATATGTCAGATTTAATATTGCTTTCTGGACAGTTAAAGGAACATACAATGGCAGACTGGCAACTGTCTGGCCTCTTCTGATGTTACAATTTTGATTCTGGTATTTTTGATAACATTAAACAAGCACAGCCAAAGAAATCTTCAAATAATCATCCAACAAATCTCCAGGGCAACACTTCATAACAAATGATGCTCACAAATGTGGATTCACACTGTTACAATGGTTGTCCTCAGACCATTATAAGATTAGCCATCATTTGAGCTGAAAAATGTCAGGAATTGCAGATCCTCTTAGAATGCTAAGACTTAATCCTCTAAGAATTCAGCGCCTGACATTTATCTAACTGGGTCTTTAATTTTAAACTCCATCTGGAGACAGAGAAATAAAAGCATCGTTTATAAATTATATAGTGTATACAATTCACTGTAACTCTTACTAGCAAGCTTGACCCTTTCTTTTCATGTAAGTAGCCACGTTACTTTTTAGTGTGCCTTATTGAAACCACTAACCAACAAGATTCAAGATTCAGGATTTCTTTATTGTCATTCCACAGTACACTGTAGTACGAAATTACGTGCAAAGTTCACAGCTTAAAAATATAGCACAGAAACAATTAAAAACACTGTAGAAATACAAGATATTAGTTATATAAAATTAAAAAAATTTAAATATGGGTGTGCGGAGCATGTAGCGTGATAAATATAACTATACAATGTTTAAAAAACCGGAAGAATGTAAATATCTAGGTATATACAGTTGGAGTATAAATATACATATTTAAAATAGTGCAGTTGAAGAAAGGTGCAGTCAAAACAGATAATAAGGTGCAGATCATTATGTACATGTAGTATTTCACATTGATTGGTCTGTTTTAGTAGGTTTTAGTGTTTAGCAGTTAAGAAGAAGCTGTTTTTGAACCTTGCAGTCATGGTTCTCAGACTGCAGTAGGGGAGGGGGGAAAACAGTCTGTGGCCAGGGTAAGTGGGGTCTTTGATAATGCCCTTTGTTTTTGACAGGCATCTTTTCTGGGCCAGCTCCTGAATGGTCGGCAGAATAGTCCCAATAGCTATCCTCACCACTGTGCTCAGAACCAAGTTAGTCTACCATTTTGCCAACAATGTTAAAAAATAGCATGGAATCTTTTTTCTTTTTGATGTTGCTGTGTTCAAAAATATAACAGATAGCCTGCAGTATAAATCCTGTGACATTTTCAATCCTCAGTAGCCTATGTCATTTAAGGGAACTATTCTGCTATTATGGGCTAATAAAGTGACAAAGCGGGGCAAATCTCAAATGATGAGGCTCATCATAATCAGTTCAAATTACCCTACAGTTTCTGCTACCACTAAGTATACACGCCACACTAACTAGCTGTGTTACATGGTGTTGTACCTTCATGTACAATACAAATGCACATTTGTACGCGCGCACGCACACACACACACACACACACACACACACACACACACACACACACACACATACACATTAATTTTTCATGAGTGTTTGAGAGCACCCTGTAGCCTGACCCCAGGAGGCCAGCTGTGGCTGACAGTGCCACACATTAAGCAAGTGAAGGGTGTGGCCACGTTGGACAAATTGGGAAGTTGGAGCCTCTGGCTTTGTGAGTGTGCTTGTGTATGTGTGACAAATCTGTTGAACTGAGCATCTGGGCTGATTAGATCCTAATGTCTCATCATCTCCTATAAGCTGTTACAAGGCAAAATGGGTCATTCTTTTAGTGTTTTTTTTTTAATTGAATTTTAATTGTTTCCTGATTTGAATGAACAGACATGCCCAACAGGGACTGTGTGCAAACAGAGAAATGTGCGGAAAATGTAACAGCAGTAATTACAAAGTTGCCAGTATGCTGATTAAATTATATATTTACCAGTATATCAAATAAGGCGGATGTTTCACTGACATTTAAAACAGCATTTATACAATTTAAACCTGTACTTATCAATATATTTATATTAACAATGTATCAAATGACTATATATAATGGGAACGGGGTTGCATGTGGGGTTACATGCAGTGGGGTGACTGTTTTCATTCACTCTCACGACTCTCATCCAGCTTCATCTGCAGCGGACAACTGTTTTTAGAAAAATCACTTCAATAAACCCACTGCCTGTCCACACTACCTATCCAGTACCAAAGGGCAGACAGACAATGTTAACAGCTAGCTGGTGAACATAGTGGAGTATTTAGTAGTGAGAGAGCCAGATAGGGTTAAGGTTAGATGTTGAAGACCAAAGCTAGAAGGAGAGCAAATATTTGACTCATATTCGTCAGGTGGCTAGCTTGTGAACATAGGAGTGCATTTAGCTGCTACAGAGCCAGGTGTTTCCTTCAGGAGTTGGTGGAACCCAAAACAGAGCCAAACAGTAGAATAACTAAACTTGAACTATTGGGTGGTCAGGAACACAACTCCAAATGATTACTAATTTTGCTTCTGCTGGAGTATAGGTAGGCTAATACATGCAAGGATGTTTTCACATTAGTTTTCTTACTGTATGTCATTGTTGTTTTTACTGCCACCAAATGGCTTTAAAAGTTAACATGTCTTAAATGTAGACCTCACAGCCAACAATGTATTTTATAGATCAAATTCTAAAGGTAACACTTTACTGAAGAAATGTGTCTTTCTGCTTGCAAAACAAAAGATCAGCCTTGGATCTCAGTCTTACTCAAGAACACTTTAGTGAACCTTGCTTAAAGGGTTGAGAAGCATTTCTCTTACACTCACTTTCTATCTGTTGCTACCATGAATCACTAATGCAAAGGGTTCCTCCACATCAGAGAATCAAAGTAACACCTCTCATGAGACAGGCAGGCACTGAATCCCTTAATCAACTTACTCTATTGGCAAAGTTACTCATTTATAAAGAGTGTAGTGGAGAAAATCAGCTCTCATTGTCATACTCTCCAGCACGGTGGACAACCACAAAATGAAGCTTCCTATGAGGATGGTAGGGAATTGTTTGCCTGGCCTGCATATTGTCAGAAGAGGTTTCTTGCCAGGAAACAATCCAGAACATTTGCTTCATGGTTTGTCTCATGGTTGGCCTGTCAGCCTGTCAAGAACTGGGACTGGCAATATTTGATTCTTCATCCTTCTATGCACTCAACCCACTCTGGTCTGACTGAATAATGTAGTTAAAAAAGTTAAAACGTTGTTATAAAAAACATCATGCACGTGTAACAAATTTGGTTCAAATAGTGACGGTCCTGTGCGCTGTGATAAATTTGAGAAGAAATTACAGTGCTTCATTCGAGTGGATGTTTACCATTGTTGTACCATCATGGTCATGACACATGCTGTCTGATGGAAAAGGGAGTAATGATGTCACTTGTAGATCTCCTTTTGTAGTGTCAACCAATGAGGGAGTTGAGGAAAAAGGAGGCAACCATGAGATGTACTCCTGTTACGCAGAAGAGAGCATTCTGGCAGGAGCAGGGTTTTCCAAAGCGACAGCGGTGGCATTAGCCTCTGATAAGCTCCGGGCCTTGTTCCAACACTTGTAAACTGCAAGCTCCCTTTTTCTCATTTTCCCCTCCTCTTCACTACTTTTTTCCTATTAAAGGTTCAATAACAGGTCGATTGGAGTATAAAAGACAGTTCTACAAGCTAATCCCTACAATAGGTACATTTTCTGAGTGCTTACCTGTAGTCAAAGGAGTAGTTTGAAGTATTTTTCAGTAACCTGTGGCTGTGTCTAAAGATACTTTTGTGCCTTCAAAGAATGAGTGAAGAGGAGAAACAAAAATCTAAGAAAGAGTAAGCGTGAGGGAGATGGTTTCAAAGAAAACGATATTGCTACGGTTGCCATGGGGACAGCAGCATGTTTTTGCAGGGACCTGATTGTGTTTATGTGTGTATTTTTGTATGCCTAAAATCCCTGTCATATCTGGACTACCATGAGATCAATTTAACATCACAGAGGGTTACATTCACCCAGAGAGCTGTGGAGGATGTTTCCACCACTAATACAACTTACAAGTGGATGCACTATAGTAACACGTGTGCTCCCACAATACACCGCTAGATGGCAATGTCAAATTCTCACAGGAGGATGGTAGTCATGTGGTAAGTTGTTCTATGAAAGGCAACAGGATTGTATGGGTCTGTAATCGATGTAAATATTTGGTTAGGTGATTCCTTCACAGACATCAGAACAAACCCTAGTGCATGATATGACATGGCAAAAGAATATATGGATCTGATGAAGTAATATAATCAATTAAAGTTTTTGCCTCTGAACAACTTATAGTTCTCTTTGTTTTCAGCATCACAGTGGATTTCAATGTTACTAGACAATAGTTTAGTTGCTTTAATGGCAGACGTATTAAAAAAACCATACTCCTCAATCCAATCCACCAGTAAAGATCTGTATCACCCAAATATGGCTAATTCCACTGCTTCTGTGTCAAGTCTCCCCAATGCTTTGAATGAACTTTGTTAATAACACCTTTGAGGAGGGTGACTATTTTGTGTTAAAGATATATTTAGGTGAAATAACAGTTCACAGCTCTTCTGTATTCAAAACAAACATTTCTAAAAATGTAACATGCTTCATCTCAGAGAGGTGAAAAGATTCACAATCACAATACACAAAGTACATTTAGCCCACTTACTTAAATGCATCACTAGGCTTTCCCACCTTCCCCCCATCTGGCTATATGAAAGGGATATATGTGGCTGTCCATAAAGCCCATAATAAGTGCAGCACAGCCTGGAATAGTCCTGAGCTAAAGGGTGTTCCCACTGCTTACACTCTGGGCTCACATTTCCCAAGGGGTGCTAGGGAGAGTGCATGGGAGACAGAGAAGGCAAGGGGAGTATCATCACAAGAAGACAAATCATTGGAGCAGGGAAATTATCTATTAGTGTGTCTGTTTGCGAAGTGATTATCTACTTTTGCAAGCATGAATCTATGCTGGTTAGACATGTTGCACATTTGTGCAGTGAGAGCAGGGATGCATTTCTGATTTATTCAGCAGCCTATAGGTGAGACATGGTGAGTTTTAAAGTCCTCACATGTATGGGCAGCTGGTAAAACACAGAAGGGAAGATGTATCCTTGCAAGCAAGTCAACTAGTGAGATTTATCGTGCTGATGAGCCTAAGGGAAGATGGTGAAGGGGAAGGACATGTGGTAGCAGCTCCCTCATTGATCCCTATGTTTAACAACAACACAAAGAGCTATACCTTGGCATAATAATGGATACTCCCTCATTCTCTCCCTCAGTTAACCAGACAGTCAGCTATAAGGACTTTTCTGTCACAGCAGGAGAAATTGACTCGTGCCCTTGCACATTCATTTACTGTAGTCTGGGGAAGAGCCCTGTGCTACAAACAGCATGTCAGAAACAGAGATGGGAGATCAATGAGGGCTGTGGCACTTGTCAGAACTGGCTGTCACACTGTGCGTATCCCTCAGTGCTCTAGGGCTACAGCCTGTGTCTGGCTTCACTCAAGAAACACTTACATGTATACTCATGCCTAACATACTCTTCAGAAGCAGAAAAATGACAACTTGATACAATAATGCACTTAAAAGGATGTCAGGCTCAGTTTTTGTCTGAAATAACAGATTAGATATATATCAAGCCTTAACAACAAAATTCTTACATTTTCAAATAGTATTATGCTTTAATACCTAATTTTGAGTCCCTGTCTTGAAAAATGTCTCTGTGTCAGAAAGGCCTCTGTGCTCATGTGGTGCAAATTCTTAAATCAATGTGGTTCAATGTGTAAGATCTGGCCTGAATTTTAATTTAAAAAGGTGGTATTATGCTCTTTGGCTTTTTCCCTCTCCTTTATTGAGTTATATACCTTTTTTGTGCATGTAATAGGTTTGCAAAGTTAAAAAGCCCAAAGTCCAGCCCAAAGGCAGTTCCCATCTCCTACAGAAACCTCTGTTCTGAACTGATTGAAAACAGCTTGTTTGTAGTCCAGCCGTTTCCTTTTCACCCCTGTGACATCACAGGGATGAAAGCTAAATGCGCCTCATATAACGCTCGCCAGGCGGCACCGGTGGAAAAACAATGAGCTGCAGGACACACCTCCTCTCCCTTCCAAACACTAGCTACCCTCCAGGCAGTCAATGGACATAAAGTTGTTACTGTGATGTAGAGACAGAGCTCGGTAAAAACTTTATGGATAAAAGATATATTTGTTACAGATTAATAACGCACCATTCTGAAACTCTTGCTCCAGTCCAAGTTACCAAGCTGGTCGGCAACATGTACAGCTGAACTGAAGCCTTGTTTACGGGCTTCTCACTGACCCGCCCTTTTTTGCTTCTGATTGGCTTGTAGTCCTTAACTAGGAACTGTGCATGTGCAACTACCAACAAAGATCATTTAGAGACAAGATGTATCACTCCATAGCTAAAACGAAGCCTTCAACACACAGGGTGAAAAGAGGAGCTGCAGCAATGTGCAGTATGACAAAAAATATGGTGTTTTTTGAAAATTAAACCATGTAAACCTGTTCTGGTTCAACCCCTAAATAGGATTTTGAACCTGAAAATGAGCATAATACCACCTCTTTAAAACATTCAAAAAATTAACTAACATTATCAACAGAATGTGAAGAAGTATCACTTCTGTCAAAGACGTCTATGTATTGTGTCGCAGAGATATCTACTTAAGTTAGCATGCTAACCAGCTAGCCCAGGCCAGTACTCTCTTAATGCCAGTTTGTACCTTAACAGGCGATAGTATCTCAGGCCCATAGTTTCAGCTTGGAGATGTGAGTGAGGAGAAAGTTTGCTACACAAGCTCTCTTACTCGCAAAGTCCACTGAAACCGCCTGCATTGCGTTAAGCTGATGATTCACGGGGCAACTTTTTGAGCAATGTTAACCCTAACCCTAAGCTGCGTCAAGCAGGACATAGCAAACAGGGCAAGAAGTCAGACACAGAATGGCATAGAGAATCCAGTCAATTTTCAAAATAGAACTCCCTTCGCAGACTCCTGATCATAAAACAACAATAAACACGGTTAAAACTGACATAAAAAAGAAACCATTTAACTACGTAGCCTACTTAATCATATAAGAAGCACAGAAAGCAAGCACTGATACCAAATCAACAAAATCTAAACAAGTCAGCAAAATCTAGCAGGAAAAACACGCTCCGTCAGTCAGTGGACTTTTCGAGTTAGCTTTTTTAGTGTAATAAATAAACAAAATAAACTCACAAAATGTCAAGGAAGGAAGTTACACCTTTTTTTGTTATTTAACAGAAGTACAACCGTAGCCCTTATTCAAGTTCTGTTTACCAAACTAAGAGCTTAATTGCCTTGTTAACTTACTGTAAAGCACACTTAATTCAAACTTGACAGAAACTAAATAATACTCAACTGAACTGTTTTGGTTAGTTTTTCCACTGTTCCAACAATCACCAACTCCAGTTTGGTCAATATGAACCCTTAATTCACTGAGATGTATAACTATTCTCATTCCCCACTGCCTCTCTGATACCCGACCTCTCTCTCACTCTTCTCCTGCTTGGCGTTTTTCCTGTCCCTGCCTGAACTGGCTGTTTCTTTGTTGTCTCTGGAGTCAGAGTCCAGAGGCCAGAGCCACTGTAAATCATCTCAAAACTGTTTTCCCTGTTGTGAAACGGGCCTTCATTGGTCTCGGTGCCTGGGTTCATCCTGGTCCGGCTTTGTTGACCGGGATTAGCGGTTAAAGGGTATCAGGAGAGGATGTAGCATTAGTCCGGATGATAGACTATATAAAAGGGTCTTACATGCTCTGGTCTCGCCTGTAAGTAAAGAAAGTCACACCAAACTCACTTCACAAATATCTGAATTTTAAGTTCCCTTGCTTCTTAATGCACATTCTTCTATCTTGACTCCTTTTTGGGGCTGCTGTAAATCACCATGGTATTGTTAAACTGGTCTCTGTTGGGCTCGGAGGCTATGTTCAGTACTGGTCCGGTCATGTTCACTGGGACGCTGCTGAGGTCAGTCCATAGCCAGTTCGACTGGCTCCAGTTCTGGCACTCATTCCGGCACCCCTCCCCACCAGCATCCCCCGCTTGGTCCTGCTCACTCAGGCCTGAAAGCCTCCTCCTCTTGCTGGTTCAAAGTTCCTTTGCTAGAGGTGTAAACACCAACACTCCTCTTCCCCGAGTTCTCAGAGCTCCCAGTCCGGGAAGAGTCAGCTGACAGCTAGCTAGCTGCCCTGCGCTGCTAAGGTACAGTTAGCAGCAGTTAGTGGTTACTCTGGTAATATGCTGCCCTCTATTTGATCGAAGTATGAGTTTGACAGGTGAACAAAACCTTGCTATTCTTACACATTGCACCTTTAATCAAGTAACCACAAAGCAAATCCGGGGCCAGATAGGAAAAGGAAAGGCTACAAATAATTGCTTTTGTAATGGCGTGGCAGAAGCTGAACTTTACAACCATTTAGTTCCGTGCGTGAAGTATAATTCATCTGCAGTTCACGTTGCATGATGAAAAATGCCAGTTTAGGGGGTATTACCTTTTTTCATTGTCTTACTTGCGCTAATGTAAATGTATGTTGACCCATGTGAGTTCATTTTCCAGGGCCAATTCTGAACAGCTATGTTAGAACTATGCTGTGCTACTGTCGCAATGAATTAAGATGTGCAATGTAATTAGCGCACCAAAGCGTCGGCTTGAACTACTATCCAACTTGTACAATGAAAATTTGGTAATACCCCCAACTGGCATTTTTCATCATGCAACGTGAAATGCAGATGAATTATATTTAAGGCACGGACCATTTAGCATGTAACCATTTAGCCTATGTATTCAAAACATTTATTCATTTTTTTCATAATCTATCCATAACTTTTGCCTCACTATTTCAATCCATTACTTTTACTTTTCAACCACTAATTCACTACTTTTAGCTTTTTCACCTATTTTCCATAGCCTATAGGCTACTGTCTATTTAAGGTGTTTATCCATTACATAAGTTAGCTAATGTTTATCACTTTGAGCTAGACTAATGTTATCATATCCCTTAAATTTACGCTAACGTTGTGTTACCTTAACGCTTATTTTTAGCTAACGTTATCAGTATAAACCAGTCTATGGTTTCAACCGTTTATCCATTCTTTTTAGCTATGCATTTTTACAACAACTAAGTTAAGATTTCCATTACTTTGCACATAGCTTAGCTGAGTGTCGACTAGTTTTCAGTCACACTACACTATTGTTCAGAGTACCGAACTAGTGTTCAGTTGTAACGTTACCTCAATTATGTTAATCAGGCTGTGTTTTCTAGCGGAACTATCTCTTCGTGTATCCCTGGAAACTGCAGTGATGCATAGTGGGGGGGAAAACTCCTCTCAGCTGGGAGTTCCCAGTTCCCAAAGAGAAAGTTTTTATTACAAACGTAGGTGTGTGAACCTAATTGAGGTACAGTAGCCTACGTCGACGTGACTGTCCCTGCTCTGCTGCACAGGTGCTCTACATATGCACAGCGCTCTCCGCCCTCTCCGTCGCCACAAACTGCGCTCATTCGCTCTCTTCAACCGCCCGGATGTAGCGCACAGGACCGCACAGTCCTCCTCTCAGTGATAATAACATGGCGCTGGCAGACACATAACGGTGCCCACCATAATAATAATATCCACAATAACAGACCAAAATAAACCACGGGACATGTGAGCTCTTCGACCCCAAGACACGCAGGTAGGTGAGGAAGATTTTATTCGACAGACGCGATGTGATATGGTAAAAATGTGGCTGCTTCTTCTTCTTCATGCAGGGGGTAAAAAAGCCGCTCTGGAAAGGCGAAATGCCTGTCTAAGGGTTTACTTTGTGTCACTGTCTCTTTGTGAGCGGGTTTAATGCCTCACACTGAAACAGCACTGTCATTCAAGGCAGGTTTGTGTCGCTGCTTACGATGCATCCGTGCAGACATAAATCTGTCATTTGGTGTTGCATGTGTTGTCATGGCTGTCAGGCTCTCCGCGCGTCGACCGCTGTCCTTGGTATTGAACTGGGTGGGCATCCCACCTATGCATGTAGCAAATATATTCTGGAGGCCTGTTTATGCCTGGTTTTCTTACGTGCTGTCATTGTTACTTAATCGAGGAGGAATTGTTTTCGATGGTGAGTGGTCGAAGGAAAAATCACTGTAATGCACCTATACAGCCTTATAATCTAGCAGGGACAGAGTGTGTGTATGGTGCTCAATGGCGAGTTTATAGGCTTTTTGCTCTGGTGTTGTTCTATTTCTTTATTTTTACCGTGACAGCATCTCTTCTATTGTACTACTCCTTATTTACCGCTCTACTGTATGAAAGTGATGATGACAGTGCAAGACATTCATTTGTGCTCCCCTTGTTTTTTCTTGCAGCCAGCCAGAGTTTGTGTGTGCTTAGGCTAATGTAGGCCAGGTAAGGGCAGGAACAGATGGCTTGTTTTCAAGTTCAGTGTGGCTTTAGGATTAGGATGTGTAGACGAAAATTAAAAGTGTTGGCTAGGCCCTTTGAGGTGGGGTTCCCCGTTTAAGCTCATAATCGCCCTAACAGCAACACTCTATTAATAAGAGTAATAATAAGTAGCACAAACCCTCTAAAGCTGTCAGGATGCCTATAGTTTGGCCTATGGATCATAGACCTGTGTTGCTTACTAGTATTAGGCCTATGTGCTTAGATGTTACAGTGCATGCCGTTTGCAGTATTTGCCTTTTTGGCAGCATTGTAAGCATAAATGGAGCTAACTATGACCTTCAGTCAGCAACCATCCTAATGCAAAGTGCTGTGGTTGAAAAAATTATTCTGTTACTTGGTCCACAGAAGTTCAATCAGCAACTATTCTGATATTTGAGGATTTTTGAGGATGTTGCCTTGTTCTTCAGGAAATTGTGATGGTCAAGTGATTAATCAATTATAGGCTGGATTTTCATATCTGGGGTTGTATTTCAACAGTTTGCTTTTAACAATATTGAATCAATTAAGGCAGCAGTTGGCTATTTTGGTGCAGCACTGCTGAATCTGAATTAATCTGCAGATTAATGGAGAATGAAAACAAGCATCAGCTGCAGCCCTACAAATAACCAAA